TGAGTAACGGTAACCAAAAACGATACTCGTCACCTATAATATTTTCTTAAAAAATATTAAAAATAGAAAAACATTATTTTATTGTATAATAAAATTACTTTTATTTATTTTTTAATATAAATAATTTAAACCGAGTTTTTAATTCATATCAACTACCATTCCTTCATTTTTATTTTAAATTCTTGTTGTTAAATTTTTAGTCGAATGTTAATCTAATAAATATTCAATCAAAATTCAAAGTAAATGTTAATTAATATTATATATTATTATTCTATTTTATAATTTATTTTAAGAATATTATGTCCATAGTACTTACTTTTTCAGATGATGATTTAACCCTTTCTTGGTCCAATAAAGAAAATTAAGGGTACAAAGTCTACACTTTGTAAATGTAAGTTATGTCCCAACGCAAATTTAGCCTCAATGTCCAGCATATCAAACTAAAAAATATGAAGATAAAAAGATGAATTATTATATTATTATTTAAAAAATTACTTTAATAAAGAATATTAAATCATGGGTATTATAAAATAACCATTAAAAAAAATATTCTTTCATAATATTATGAAAAGCTTAATCATTACATTAAAACCCAAGATTAACAAAATATTGGTCTTGGTACAAAATATTATATTGGTTTAAACAATATCTTCTATTTCTTATTTTAGTATTGCTATTGGTTTCTCCCCAAATTGTTAATAAATTTAAAGAATAAAAGTGATTTTAAAAAACTTTGTCTAATAAATATGTATTTTAAATAAATATGGAATAGAACTATGAATTAATATTGTTTTAGAGAACTGAACTTAGATATTTTTCCTGATTCCTTTTTAAATGATAATTCTGAATTCTGAAAAAGATAAGAAATTGAAAAATTTTTTTGGCAATTATGATTTCAATTTTGAATGTTTTCCTTGACAATAAGCTTAGTGAAAAATGCAATTAAATTTTTAAAAGATTTATCTTCAATTATTGAAAAAGCTAAGTTATTTTTAATAAAAAATTCAGAAATTAATAACATTTTAATTAAAAAATTATAGACTGTACATTCCTCAAAAATGAAAGAGATTAATGAACATTTAAATAATAATAAAAATAAAAAAAATTGAAGCCAATCAACTCACACTCATTAGGGTGCAGAATTCATCTATATCAAAAATAAAAATAGCTAGCACAATAAGCTGTTGATGAATTATTTTTAATTTTGTAATTGAAGAATTACAATCATTTTCAATTGTAGAGAGCACTGCATTTATTAATATTATCAAATTGCAGCCAACTAAAAATGTGATATCTAGGCCTACCCTCGTATTAAAAATTAACAAAGCATATGACACTATGGCAAAGAAATTAGCGGATGTTTATCATTGGTATATAAATATATATTTCATAGATTGATAATACTGTTTTTTATAAATGTTTTTATTTAGGGATGATGATATACTGGCTACACTCAGACACTCTTGAGAGGGTTTCAGCCAGCTTAGCTTGTAAAAGGCTAAACCAAAAACATACATTTGATTATCTAGCAAAAATAATCTTTGAAATTTTACCACATATAAGATACAAAATAAAGTGACCAAATGCATTGCCGAAAATGCTAGAAATTATATAAAAGCTTTCAAGTAAAAATGTATAATATATTTTAGGGATGTACCGATTTTTTTATCGGATCGGATTGAGCCGATATTTCACCCATTTTAAAATATCGGTTATCGGCCAATATTATAAAATTTTCCAATCCGATATAAAATGGCGTCTTTAACAAAAATAAAAAGTTATAAAATTTTTAAAAAAGTTTATATCTAAAATCATTTATTTTTATAAATAAAATCGAAATCTCTTTTTGTATATTTTTTTAATAATAATAATTAATAAACATTCTGCCATATTGTTATTTTTTTCGCGCATTCTGTTTATAAAAGTGTGCGATAATCTCTTTAGAATCTGTTTTTAGTGAAGCTGGTTGACAGTTACAATCGCCGCAGGCTGACCTCTGATAAATTTGAAATTTTGGTATTTCTGAAAATAAATCTTCGATATATTAATGTTAAATATTATTTTAAATATTTATTTCAAATTTCATAATATATTTGTTTATTACTTATATAGATTAATGTTATATAAAAGTGATTTAACAATAAAAATATTTTATATACTTTTAGAATTGCAAATAAATTGAATATAAAATATAACTGATCATTAATATATTTAAATGACATAAGTTATGGTATAGTTAAATTATAGATGTTATACTAATAAAAAGTATATTAAAAATTAAAACCATTGGTATCTTTACAAAATACAAAAATAGATATGATATCGGATCGGTAATAAGCCGATATCAATTTAATATTGGGAATATCGGATCGGATCGGCCTCCAAAAAGTGGTATTAGTACACCCCTAATATGTTTATTAAAAATTTATTAGAGTATATGAACAAGGAGAGGAATCGGATGATGAAACAGTTCCTCTGCCATTTGATCTAAATGAAAATCAAAATACTAATGATAGTATTGAATACTTACCTAAGCATCATTCCTGTTTAGCACACACTTTAAATCTCATTGCAAGTGTTAATATTGAAAAGGTAGGTAATGATGTCCATTTTTAAACCATTTCAAAAATTACATTTTCTAAGTGTAAGATATTGTGGAATAAACATGGGTCTTCAAACTGTGCAACCATTTTTAAAGAAAACATGGGAAGATATCTGATTAAACCGGTTATAACAAGATGGAACTCTCTTTATAACTCCGTGAAATTAATATATAGTCTTATTAAGGAGAATTGCTAAAAATTTGGCGAATGAGATAAATCTGAATTACAAAGATTTTCAAATGACGACAAGTCATTCATGAATGAATATTGTATGGTTAGTGTTAATTAAGAAATATGATATGTATATATATGATTTTGTAGGTTATGGAACCGATTGCTACCTCTTTCAATTTTAAAGAGAGAAGAAAAAATGCATTTGGGATATCTCACTCCCACGATAACTATTATAATATTAAAACTTTAAAAAAGGCTTTAAACAATTTCAAGTTATAAGCCACTTATTAATTCAATCCTGGAAGCAAATATTGCTTACAATTTATATTTTGATTATTTTTATTTTCAATAGATTCAAATGCATCTATAAAGATGAATATATACTATCCGCAGTAATTCACCCGCTATTTAAATTGGATTGGCCCTGTATAAAATTAGAGATCAACAAAGGAAGAATGCTAGAACTTATTTCCAGTTTGAGAAAAGATCTTGATAAAGAAAGAGCAGACTTAATTCCTTTGTTCAACACACATACATGAATATTTTCTGATAAAGATAAAAAAAAAATTTGATGAGGAAATGAATGAATATCCTTGTGAAGATGATCTATTGAGCTTTTTTCAAAATAAAGATAATTCTTTAAATATTTTTAATAAATTCCACAAATTAAAATTTTTATTTATTAAATATAATACAACTCTCCCATCCTCTGCACTAATTGAATGTGTGTTTAGCATGCCAATTGTATTGAGCATAGCTCTTGTTTGTCTGATCAAAATTTTGAACATCAATAATTGCTAAAAATAATTAAAAAATTGACAAATTATATTATCCAATTTTTGTATAATTTTATTTATTTTATAATTATATATATGAAATTTTTTTTTATAAAATGATCATATCTTATATATTCTTTTTGTATAATTTTATTCATATTATATATTGTAGAAAAAAATAAATATTTTTTTGTATATATTTAATTTTTTAAGTAACTAGCAACCCGTTACTTTTTTGAATAGTCAGTTATGCGTGTTCCTTTTATAAAAAGGTAACGAGTAATGGCAACCCCTTCCTTTTTCAGGCGCAGTAATGGTAAGGCGTTTCTTTTTTGTAGTAATGTTTACAGCACTATTAAATAAAAATACTCAGCAGTAAGGATAAATCCATGTAGACATATTAAAAGCATATGCATAAATTTAAATTAACATTTTTTTGATTAATTATATTTGTCATTTTAAAATATAATTTTAAAATAAATATTAGAATTTTTTTAAGTTGAAAAAAATATCAACCCAATAATTTATCAGCTGCAAACCCGAAATATAAAGAGATAAGTATTGGGATTTCAAATATATAAGAATATCCCAATTAATTTATTAATAAAACATGCTCATTCTTTTAAATATAATATTGTCTCAAAATATTACAAGTTTTTATTTTAAAAAATTTTTCCAAAAATATATAATATAAAAAAATTATTTTATATATTTTTGAAGTTAACCCATTAAAATGATTTTGAAACAAATTATTTGACTCGTCATCGAGATATGTTTTTTAGACTAAGGAATGTCTGGAAAATATTCTAAATTTTAGAATAATTATAAGAAAAGGTGAAAGAATTTTCATTTTTTTTTCAAAAAGACTCCATAGAAATTTTTATAAGTCAATGGCAAGTAAACTATAGAAAAAATAAGTTTATAAATATATTTTTTAGATGAGATGAAAGATTCCATTTTAACAGTTTTGATAATTTTATAAAGTAACAAAAATGTATTATATTACTCATAAAAAAGTAATTGTTACATAGCTCTTTTTTCCATTCCAATATAGGAATTCAAAGATATATTATATAATGTAAAGCTACCTATAGTAACTTAATTTTAATTCTAACTTTTTTCCCATCTATATTGAATATTGTAAGTGTGCCATATTGAATTAATATTATATCTAACTGAATTACATTTGTATAAATAAATTTAACTTTTCAAAATATCACAATATATTGATTAAATTTATTTTAACATTATGATAAGCTATTGGGACATTTTAAATATTTTATATATAATCATATGTACCTATGTACATCAGTAATCATTGAGTAGTTCAAATAAATAAAGAATAGTTTTGAATATAATTAATTTATAAGAGAGAATTAAATAAGAACTATGCAGTAATAATTCCAAAATAAAAATTTTACAGGTTTTATTTATTCTAAAATATTACCTTGATTTTCAGGGTTATTATTTTCATGAGTGGAAGAGTTTTGAATTGCACTATCTTCTTCATCTTTATCTTTCTTTGAAAATATCTTAGGAAAATATTTATTTTATAACAATTTTATTCTATCTTACATGATCAATTTTAATTAAAATATACAAGATAAATATATTAAAATTATCTAGGTTGAATATAAGATAAATTAAATACAATAAAAACTACAATTATTTTTTAAATAACACTAATAAAAGTTATTTCAATAAGCAATAGGTTGACACAGACTGGCCATCCCATGTAAATTTTTAAAAAGTATTTTAACTCAGATCATAAAAGTATTTTGAATAAGTTGTCTGGACTCAAAAATATTTATTCCAACAAAACTTTAGAATGGGCTTTGACCTATGCCAACCATTAATAAGCAATTAAAATTATTATTATTTATTACATGATAGCATGAAAATCCCATGCATTTTATAACTTTTTCAGGATCCTCATATAACTTTGATTTAAAATTTTCAAAATAATTTTTTATACCTATTATATAAATTTTAAAAAAATATAAAAGGAAAAATAATATCCTATTCAAGATAAATTAATAAATAAATACTTAGATGATCTGATACATATTGAACATCTAGATGTATGGCTCCTTTACTGGCAATTTTCTCCTAAAAATATATTGTTCATATATACAAAAAGCAAAATTAACTTTGTTAAACTTTTCACTTTTTAAAAAATTTATAAAAATTCCAATTAATTCTATGTATTCCAATTTCTCTTAATAAAAATTATAAAAAAAATATAATATATTTTTAAATACCCTCACAAAAATAGTTATTCAATCCAATAAACTTATTGTTTTGTGGTTTTTTTGGTAAAGAATAGTTCGTAATCTCTGATATTACTGGAGTTTCTAATAATAGATATAAAATATTACAAAATTTATTATTTTATTTTTATCTGTACTTTTCCCAAAATATTTATTTTTTCGCATTCAAAATATTTTTAAATCTTATGCGTGTATGGTGGTTATGTGTAATTTTTTAGTTTTTTTTTTAAAGATTAAACATTAAAAAAATTTCCAAATGGATAAAAAATTTCAACAATAAAAAATATTTAAGCTCATAGATAGCATTCAATAATAAATAGAGATGAGATTTGATTTATATATTGCTATTGAAATTAACTGTTTTAAATAGAAACATTGTATTGTAACTTAAGATTTTGATGAGATTTTACCACCTAAAATTTTTTAACTTTATGGCTTCATTAACAAAATTCTTTAAATGGTCCTAACCAATGGGATAAAAATAACTCGGTTAACAGGGGGTATTTATTAAATTTTAGTGTCTCCATTTGGCTGATGAAGTCTGGAAGGAAATTGCTGGCTGCAAATATATCTATACATGCATAATTTCAAGCTAATACTTTTTCTTTGAATGGTATAATAGTTATGTAATATGGTCTTTTTCCATCAGTTAGGTTGAGTCTTATGGGTTCCAAAAAGATGGGTACCCTGTTATATTGATTTTAGCGAGAATTTATTGTGATAGCCTACGACTTAACTACACTCTGTATTAAATACAAGCTTACCAAAGAACATTTGTACCCTAAACCGTTAAACTACTGTTATGCGGAGTTCTTCAGCAATAATATGAAGTTCCAAATTTAGGAACCAAGGCAACTTAAAATCTGGCATCACTTCCAGATAACAAGTTCGAAATAAGGAAAGCTACAGAACGAGCAATTAAGAGGTTAAGGATTTTTATAGGGATTTATTCTCCATCTCGAAAGAGATAAGAATACCATAATTTAATAAAAGTAGAAAAGACCAAAAATCATGTGACATTCTGTGAATTAGACATGTTAAATTTATCATATTTACCACGGTCTAATCCATATTTCTGTTAAAATTATCACATTTATTTATATACCAATATCAATATCCAAATCTTTCATTTAATTAATTATCTTACATATATATATATACAGTCATAAACATAATATTAACAATATCTAAATATTTCATCAGCGTCTACATGACAGAATTTTCACTGGATGCAAACCCCCTTCAAAAACCTTTGCCTACCCTCCTAAAAAATTTACCACCTGCCAAATATCAATATTATGTAAATATAAAGGATTTGTTTTGTAAATACAAAGGATTTATTTTGTAAATACAAAGGATTTATTTTATAAATACAAAGGATTTATTTTGTAAATACAAAGGATTTATTTTGTAAATACAAAGGATTTATTTTGTAAATACAAAGGATTTATTTTGTAAATACAAAGGATTTATTTTGTAAATACAAAGGATTTATTTTGTAAATACAAAGGATTTATTTTGTAAATACAAAGGATTTATTTTGTAAATACAAAGGATTTATTTTGTAAATATAAAGGATTAATTTTGTAAATATAAAGGATTTATTTTTTAGATAAATCAAGTAAAACCTCGATTATTTACAATGAATTCATTATTATAGCATTATGAGCTTGCTAAAATATCAATTTAAAAGGATAGTAGAATTTGGAAAACAATGTATTGCAATATATAGATTTGGTTGATGAATTATATTATAATAGTTCTATAATAAAAGTATTAATTTCCTATTTCATCTCAAATTTAATAGATAACCCCCCAAAAAATATATTCTACCCCCATTAAAGCCGCCTACCCCCTACTCTCCTCAAAAAAATAGGATGCAAATTGTTCCTACCCCTCCCGCTCATGTAGACGTTGTTAATACCATACTAATCTTACAAAATGCAGACAAAGGAAAAATTAGGTGGTGTGAAGAATAAAAAAACAATATCATTTTTTCCAAAATATATTAACTAAACGTATATTAATATCATTAACAAATTAACAGATATAACAAGAAAATAGTTTTTTTTTAATAAGAAAAATGTTATTTTTATTTTTTGTCAGCATCTAAAATATATAAAAAAAACCTTAACTCTGTTTAAGCCAACAATTGTACTAGAGTTATTTTCGGCAAGAAGAAAAATTCCCAAGGTAATATTAAACTTGACCTTTACAGGGCTTCCATTGTATAGAAACTCACATTACAAGCAAACAAAATATGTAAACAATCGTTTTATCCTCATTCATTCGAATATCATAGATAAGATAATTTTAAATTTTTCAATAATCCATTTTAATTGTATTGAAACCAAAGTTTTATAATTTGTTTGAACCAAAACCCATTTAAAAGATTATTAAAACAAACCCCACTTTAAAGTTGATTGAAACCAAAACATATTTTAAATTTATTAGAACCAAGTACCATTTTTAAATATTTTAAAACTAAAACCCATTTCAAAAGTTATTGGAACCAGTATTCATTCTAAAATTTACTCGAACATTTTTAAATTTATTGGAACCAAAACCCATCTTATAATTTTTTGAAAGCAAAGCCCATTTTAAAATTTATTGGCACCATAACTCATCATTACTTCTCCCCTCAATTTCAATTAAGAATCTGGATATTGGTCTGAAATAAACAGTAAAAATAATAAAAAATAGTTAATTAAATATTTTATTTTTTATATAAGTGTGGCCATAGGCGTAGCCAAGATTTTCTTAAGGGGGGAGGGGATTAAAAAATTTCTGGAGCGAAGCCCTTAGACACCATTTTGGGTGGGCTTTCGGCTGGGTTTTTATAGTCTATATATAGTCATAAAATATTTTTTTTACAAGATAGAAGGTTAATTTTAATAATAAAACAAAGTTTGGAACAAATATGAAATATATTTTTATTAGTTTATATAAAACTAGTAGAAAGCCCGTCAAAAATGACGGGAAATAAGATTTTTATTCATTTTTTACGATAGATGTCATGCCAGGTTCAAGCTCACAATATTAGGAAGCATCCAAGATCTTATAATTATAAAAAGGTTTATCAAGCCCAGCTCAACCCTTAATAATTTGTAAAAGATATTCCCAAGTCAGGTGCAAGCTAATATTTTTTGAGGTTCCAAGCACAGTCCTACCCATTATAATTTTGAAAATTTATTCCCGTCTTGGTGATAGTTAAATTTTTAATATCATCACATGAACGGGAAATATCTGATTTACCAATTAGTCTAATATGGAAAAAAAACATGTAAATTCCAAATTAAGGGAAACTGGGAAGGCAACCACTTATTAGAGAATCGTGACAAATAAAATAAAAATAACCGACTCTTATACTTTTTTGTAATATGATCAATTAAAATTATATCTAAAAAATATATTGTTTATTATATAAGGTTATTGTTGTTTTTCAGATATATTTAATGTATGTCTTGCATTTCTGAAATAATTTGTCAAAGAATTTGATAAGGGATATATATTTTTTTATGTTAAGTAAAAAAAAAATGCTGTCTATTTAAATTACAAAAATGCCATTAAACACTAATGAAACTTATATGCAAATTATTTATATATTTTTTAAGATATTTTTTTTTATTGACATATAAATTTAGGATAATTTTTTAAAAAAATAATGAGGATTATATATTATGTATTTGATAAAATTAAGAGCAAATCCTTGTTGACATTTTAATTTTTGATGGAAAAAGCGACAAAATAAATCTGGGCGGTCGTCTGGAGAGGAAATAATTAATGTATAATTTTATATCATTTAGGGTTGTAGATGAAAGTAATGACGGATTAACAAACCAGTGTACAAAACACATTACGTCCTGATAAAGATGATATGCCCATGCCTTGGGATACTGGCAAAAGAAGAACGCAACGATATTTCTGTCAATTTCAGCATTGGTATCCCCATCTAAAATAGAATCATGAACGACAATGTTAACTCAGCCATAAAACGGTCGTAAGTATTGTTATAAAGGCCACGACAGAACTACTGCATATTTTTCCATTAATAAAGTTGATGAAATTGGCTGTATTGTACATTCAAGTTTGAACACGCCAAAACGATATTTCTGTCAATGTCAGCATTGGTATCCCCTTCTATAGAATCATGAACGACAATGATAACTCAACCATAAAACTGTCGTAAGTATTGTTATAAAGGCCACGACAGAACTACTGGATATTTTTCCATTAATAAAGTTGATGAAATTGGCCGTACTGTAGATTCAAGTTTGAACATTCCTCTAAATATTCATGAAAGTTTCTCAGAGAATCGGTTAAAGTAATATTTATATTAACTCCTAGTGAAGTGAATGATAGTACAGAGTTAAATGTTTATATTTTAAAAAAATAGGCGGAGGTGGCATAGGGATTGTGGTAGTGGTGATAGAAATATCATTTGGAGAACTGGGTTAAAATAAACATAGATATAAAATATAAGATAAAAAAAAACAAAATAAGCCTCCAGATGAGTTCATTTCAAATGTAGTTCTTTATTATTTTGTCTACCAGTAACTCTAGAACGGGTAAGGCGTTTATTTAATCGTCATTATTTTCTTCGCTTATCTTTAATAATAGATTCATCATGTTTTGTAGCAATGTGAGA